TAACAGCAAAATATTAAGGACATTGATCTGTCTTCAATTTTCTTAAGACTTACGCATGTTCCTTAAAACGTAACAGGAAATATTTAGATTAATCATGATGTATGAGTTTGTGTGTTGCTTTTTTCTGTGTTTATGCTTTTTTTATATTTATCACCCTGTCGGCTATTATGTACGAAAGGCTAACATAGACATATGCTACACATGTAAATTAGGTTCTTTCATAAAAATGTCTACTTCATTTCAAAACATACTATGCATTTGGATATACTTTTTGTTAAGGTTTTACGTCGCTACAATACAGTTCAGGTCATATTGCAACCTAAGGTCCCCTCCATGCAATGTTACGGGCTCGAACGGGCACCCAAGTAGAACATTTCGTAATCTAGCAAGGACAAGGGTCAATCTAAATGCCCTCCACCCCCTTAAGTGGGGGCACAAAAATATCACAATAATATTCACTTTTGCAAATGACATGAGAGTATCTACTCCTGAACAGACCCTTACCCTAACCCTTTATTAAAATTCAGTCATTTTTACACACCAAAACTATCATATATTTGCATACAATCCTAAATCAGAGAGTACAATCAATAAAACTAGCTTATTCTAAGATTAGATTGAATCTTATTAATCAACTGTCTGCTATTGCTGAGAATTAAGAGATGTGTCTGCTAAGGTTTGGTCAGTGTCCTATAATGTAATTTATAATTACATATCATACAAGTTCTCGTTTCGCATAACAAAACATATACTCTACTATATCATTCAATTTATCCATTACTGTCATAAATTTAGGTATTAAGATATTCCAAAAGATATTCAATGAAAATCAAAATCTGTTATTATAAGATCCTCACACAAAATGTTTTCCACAAATGCAGATGTTTGTTACTGTTGCACTTATTTCGGGGATGGCACTTCAAATCCTCAAAAATATATCTTTGAATATATACAAGGCACGAACGTGCACGTGAGAAAAACCACCGGCGTTCTAGAAGCTAGCTAGATAAAAAAATCATTGACGGGATCCGAACAAACGCAGTCAATGCAAAGTGTTTCTAAAATTAACGACCTTCAGCAGCCGGCCATAGACAAGGACGCCCAACAAATATGTACACGAAGAAACACAAAACGTTTCTTTAAACGTATGTTTTACCAACGTCACTAAACAAACCCTTATCATATAGCGCAATTAAGAAAACGGCAGGAATTACTAGCACATATCTGCACGTTCCTATTATCCTATAACGGAATTCAGGTGCTCGCATAAGCCATAAATCATCGATAATCAAATTAGGTATTTCGCTCCCAAAATGTAAATTTCACCGTTACTGCATTGATCTTTTTGTATGATATATTTCCATTTCAATTATATAGTGACACCATGATTCCTAAAGAACGCACAAAAAGGCACAATTTAAAATAAGATGCAGGCTCGGTTTAATTTAGCCTGTTTATGGACAGTTTTCTTTTAAAACTTATATTTGTTTCCTATGTTTACATTATATTATCATTATCATCTTATAATTCCTGTATTTCAATCAGTGATAAACATTTGATAACCAAAATTGAAAAATGATACTTAAATTGCAAAAACGAATGGACATAGAAATGGAATAAAAGTTAACTTAAGATAAAAACAGTCAAGAAATTCTATTATCAACTTAACTAAACAAAAAAAGATTAATGTTCTGTAAACATGGTAAATGAATAATCAGCAAGTAGAAAAAATATCTGTCGATAATGTTAAAATGCATACTAAATAATGAAGCAAGGAACCTTTCTTAGTTTAAAAATGCATTAATGGAGAATGACAGTAATAAACAATGGTTTGTCAATGACAACGGATATCATTTTCATTTTTTTTTCGAACTAAGTTACTAAAACTAGTTTTATTCATCGGTCAGAAATGAAATTCCAAGTTATTATATTACAAACTTTGCCACCAGTGGTAAGTTATTAGTTTTCAAACGTATTGAATTATCTACAATTGGTATTAGTGTCTGCACGATGTCTATCTATTTATTTAGAGGATTAAAATCATCACTATACACAGTGTACCAAAATTATAGAAATTAATTTCAACCCTGTTTTCTGTTAATATGTTATGTCCTTCATTATCTTTTAGTAACATAGTCTGACAGAATTTTACTACGTTATGAGTTCCATATTGCACTGAATTAACCAAAAGTTCATATTTTGTCTGTTGATATATCCCAGGAGGGGAGTATGTATTCTATATATTATATAAGCTGGGTTATATTATGCAGTATTGTTATTTCAAACTAACACTGGACAGCGAAATCTAATAATACCAATATGATAAACAAGCATTTAATCTTTCTGATTTGTCTCAGGTAACTTATACATATATGCATGCTATACATGCCATAGTGATTATACGGACACGAAGTTATACATTAAATATTTGTGTAAATTATTAACAAAAGACCACTGGTACAACACGAGATTTTTATGTTTTTTGTATTACATTCTCAACACATTATACAATGTTTTACAATTTACTCGGACTTACCAAATGTGAATATAATACTCGTTTGTTTATATATATTTCCTCAATTCAATATGTTTCATACATGTATGTAAATGAAGAAGTGCCATAATATAATATACCATTGATAATCACTACAACATTAATGAGAAGTGATTTATTCTTCTTGAAAAGTGTTGATAACAGAAACTTATTCCACTTAGTCCAAATCGTAATTAAAAGAATTATTTCAAGCGCTCAACGCAGTTTATAAAATATTTATAAAAAGATAGTGAGAGTAAATCTACGATATACAAAACAATTAAGACACAAACGTTCCCTATGACATGTATTTGTTTGCATATAAACATATAAATAGAAAATTCTGTGTGCATCTTAAACGATCAGAAAATATGCTAAAAGGGTAATGCATTTTACTTCGAAGTTTTTTGTTCTATTTGAAGATAAAGTAGAATATGTACTTGGCATTTTAGTATATATAAATACTAATAGAAGCGTTTGAGTCTGCAATATTTTCATTTCTGCCGTTGTATACGTTCTTTAGGGATTCTACTTTTTTAATACGTTTAAAATCTTGAATACTTAGATACACATATATATATATGCTTCTTTTAAATTTGAATCTCGAATGTTGTATCGTTGCAATAAATTGTCTACAGCTGCCAGGCATAATATAACACGATATTGAACCTCCTTTTACTAAACAAAACAAATTATCCTATATCATACTTCTTTGTAGAGTAAGACATGAACATAAGGCGAACATACGTGACTCCATGAAACATTGAAAGTCTCCTTTATAAAGCTACATTACATGTACCTGAATACAAACGCCTGGGGATATACGATATCTTAGATCTGTAGGGTTTTTTTGCACTACGTTATTTAACTTTTCTTTAAACGCTCCATGAGCCTCAGAAATGGATTTTCCCTCTTAAGAAAAGTGCAAACAATTGTTATATTATTAGTTATAAAGATTTTTGGCAGGTAATATGGCCATATATAAACGATTGTTTGTATATATAATCCGAGCCGCTAGGCTTTTGTAAGAAACGATGATAATAATTGTAATACTTTTACTTTTCTGAAGATATGTTTTTAAGATGTCCCTAACAAAATTGTAGTTTAAATAAGTATCACTTTTATTAAACAAATGTAGAAAATAAGATAACGCCAAAGAACACGTGCCTTGCAATCTGTAAGGGTATATATTCTTCAGTTCTTCTTGATAAATACAATAATATATCTAATAATATAGTGTTTGATATTTGATGTGGTTGTATCTTGATCAATAATTTTAGACAAAGTTATAACCTGCGTGTTATTTACGACTAAACAGACTTTTCATTTGACACCTTAAAAGGAATAATAATTCATTGACATATTATACACAATGTTTCCAATTATAACAAACCGTTTGATGATATAGTACCTGAAATTGAATGTAAATGTAACTAAATGTAAACTGCACTTTTGTATTTTAGTTCAGACTTCAGCCTCCAATTAATTACTTCATTAATATATATACTAACGTTTGAGTTCAAGAACGCACAAACATGCATGATTTTAATCACTTTAACAATAACAATCAACGATCAATCTTATAAACATCCTAATGTTACACGTCCGCTTTAAAAGGTAATGAAATAGTCTACAAATATTGTCAACTGGGTCCTGGGTTCAAATCTAAGTAGGGTCAACATTTTCTATGTTTTTGATTAACTTTCAGTGTTTCATTTAACTTAAATAATGTATAATTCCCTATTTGCAAGAATTTGAGAAAAATGGTACAGTTTAATAATATAATTTGTATTAGGTGTATATTGGCTAAATAATGTTACATTCATTGACAAATGTGTTACCAGATGTTTTCAAAGTCTAATATTAAAACAACTCGATAAAAAAATTTACATTTAACAATTGACCGTGTCATTATGAATTACTTAGTTGCATCTAAGCTTGTGAAATGCATAATGTTTTGTGAAAAATATTTCATGTTTTGTGAATGTGTATCATATATTGTGCAGCTATCATGAGATATGAGCTTTAGAAGCATGAATAAGGTAATGATTCACATACATATCACAAACTATATAACCTGTCTAATGTTGCACTAAACGTTCTATTACAGAACATTGAGTCTGTTATTATACCAGAGAGTGTTAAGATTTGAATTTAAAAAAATGTCCAATCTTTCTAATATTCCTAGGTCATAACTGAAGGTGTGCATGGAACATTTTATCTCTATGGACAAATGTTGACAAATGATGTTACTTTTTTATCTATAAAACGACTTAACAAGGGTTCATCGTATTGCACATTAATGTGTGTAAATTATCAAATATTTTTCGATCAGCTTATTGAAATAACTTTGATTTTCAAAAGTTTCAAAAACAAAGAAATCTTCCAACAATAAATGTCACATTCGTGACTCATTTTATAATCTCATTTTATAATCTCTTAATACCATGCCGCCTAAACTAGCTATGTAAACAAAATTTACTTAGCTAAACAATTACATAAAAAGATAAATAGCCAAAAGGAAAAATATAAAAAAATAAATTTGTTATTTAAGTAGATCTAGTCAAAAATAAATATAGGTGCAGAAATGAAACTTTTCACAAAATATACAATACTCACAAATTTTACATATGTACAAAATAGGCTGCTTGACCACTCACTGTCTCTGTAAAATACATAATCTCAAAACACAAAGTCCATGATCGTTCCACTAGTCTGAAGTTCCGTCGGTTCCATATGTAACATATCTCCTCCCCCGTACAAGAAATCAAAATGGTCCGGTGTTGTATAATACGTTGGGCGCCATCTGTGGCCAGGTGGGCTCCAGCCCATGTACGTACATAAGAGTAATGGCCAACCACACTGGCCCCAGCCAGCAGTCAGTATAAGGGTCCAATACAACAAAAGGCTGTGATCGAGTATACTATATATATATTTCTCAAACCCTGTAAATTAACAAATACAACATATTACTAAATCACAAAAGTATAATACATTTATTGATGTATACATGATATAGGAGTTTAATATATTAATTATGGTTATATTATGTTATAAATTCACACTGTGGTCAAGTCAGCCATTAGTCCTTACTTAAAATAATTAATGAACATATTTAAACCTTAAATGAAATTAAACAAAGAATACATATATCTACATACCAATTGTGGATCAGGTTTCATATACTGTATAGGTAATACACCTCTGTTTCTCTCACTGACTCTTACTGTGCTCTATTAACTGTAAATGGTTAAATGACAAGTGATAATACAAGATAGTAAATAGTGATGTACCAATTACCAAATTATTAGAAATATAAGCTGCCATCTTGATTACAATGTACATGTCCAATATACATGTTTACACAAATACTAAATTAATACAAATAAAGCATTGCTCATTTGTGACTCAAAAAAGATGAATCAATAGTAATAAATAAGACCAACCAACCTCAACCTTCAATTTCCAAGAAACACCAAAATAGTTATAATAAAATTAATATAAAGTTCAGCAAAGCTAGTTCACATTTGACTTCTCAGTATCAAGACTTGTGCAAGAGTGAACACTATATCACATGACCACAATAATTGGTTCAAAAACAGCGGGAATTCAAATGCTTGACTAATCACTCAAATTTACAATGAAAGGGAGATTATAGACAACTCTGTAAAACTAAAATGTGAAAAGTTTAAAATAAACGAAAAGATCAAAAACACGAACTGGTTACATCGAGACACTATGTAAAATGTAAATCAGCAACCTGCTTAAAGCCCCTAGCCCCGGATAAAGCAGTATTCTGCAATGTCAAATATATTATTATAATTCATAACCACCCAAGAAAAAAAAACTTTTTACAGCTGTTACAATTGCCAGTCATTTTAACGATATAATAAATATTATTTGCATAAAATCCTTAATTTGAGATTGCAATCATGATAAAACTAGCTTATTCTTAGATAAAAATTTAATCTTATTAATCAACTGTCTGCTATTGTCGAGAATTAAGAGATGTGTCTGTTAAGGTTTGGACAGTTTCTTATAATGTAACTGTATAATGACATATCATACAAGCCCTTGTCTCGTATAACAAAACAAGTACTCTTCTGTATCATTCACTTTATCCATTACTTTCATATATTTAAAAGGATATTCCATGGAACAAAAAAAATCTAATTTTATAAGACTCTCACAATTTGAACTTGCCACAAATACAAAATTTCAGTTCAAGTATGTTAGGTATTTTAATTGTTATTAAATGTTATTAAAGTTTGGTACTGTTGCACTAATTAAGATGATCACATTATTAAATCGCTGGCGGGATTCGAATCCACAGCATTAAGGGCCAAGTGGTATTTTGGGATAATAGACTTCATTTCCTTTAGTGTCAAAGATTGACTCATGCTAAAGTTTGTTCAAGAGAAGTGAGAAATGTTTCATATAACATATCATTCATGAACAGACTTAATAATACAGATTTCGCAGTTGTAAACATAATTATTTGGTTATATACTATTAACATCATTTTTGGCTTTTCGGAAACATACTGCCATGTATTCGTTGTATTAGTTTTCTTTCTTATGCGCACGATTTTTTATGGCAAGAAAATAAACTGTTCTCGACTGATACGAACAGTCGCGTAACGTGCATAAATAATTTTCAAGATGTGCCAGAAATTAGAGTAGAGAAGCCTTGCGTCATGACGTATTATGGCTGGTTTTTCTTGGGTGAAAACGTAACCATTAATCTTTGTTTGTTATAAATAATCATGCAAAATACTTATCGCCGTCTATTTATACTTTATGTATTTAAATAAGCAAAAGCAAGCAGTTTTTGCCTTTATTTGTTTTTATAACAAAATTATCATGAATTTGTTTATTACTTAAGTTATTACTTTGGCAGATAATAGTCCTGTAGTTTAAGCGTAAGTTGTATTTATGAAACTTCTGAGTACGTTGACCTTCTCTGATTAAGATATATCATTTGCATATTGTTTAGCCAGTTACAAATATGTGAGGGTGTTTTAAATTGGTTCTATAAATTACACTATATCCGCTATCTATCATTCACAGTGACGGCAGCTTCCGTTTAGTCAAATCAATACAGATATTTGCAACTTAACATTTTATTCCTAGATCCTTTAGTTGTCCATATATAAATTGCAATTTTTGTAATCTCCTAATGGTCTTATATACCTTTTTCTAAGTTGAGTCATATAAACATCTCGGTAGATCTTTTTCGAAAAACATGAATTAAATACAGTAAATATAGATTTCTTCAAAACTCATTAACCTATGAGAGAAGTTAAGGATTTGTTTTCAAACTGAAATCTAAACTAAATTTAAACAAAAATAGATATCAAACCAAATTTATTATGTATGACCTTTGTATCTTTAGAACTGAACTGAAGGTTTTGATTTATTTAAAGACTAACGTTTTCGAAATTGTGCAGTTTACGACAAAATCAATATGAATAACCTCTTATGAGCATACTTAATCAGACAGAGATATACGACAGATTATTTCACGTTTTATTTTCTTATTGATTATTCCCTTTTTCACAAATTTTACAGCATAAAAAGTAAAATATATTTTAGTTACAATCATGGTAAATTCAGTTTATAATTGGATGTTTGGGTGGTCTTTATGTTTTCATTTATTTGTCATAAATCATGATTCAAGCAACCCATACAGACAGTTTCATCTGTACTGTACCATACCCAAAAAATACACGTATAACGGTTTGTAAAGCTTTCGTTCTTGGCTCGTTTTTGAGAAACCGCACTGTCTTTGCTTTGTCCATGTGCCCTTCTCTGTTTTTGTTCAGTGCCCTGTTGGACTACTTGCTGGTTGTCCCTTGTTTCTAGATTTCATAAGAGAATGCAGTTATTAAAAGAACCACTTTATTATATTCATTTTTTGCGTACACCTGTGTAAAACTGAAGGTTATTTTAAATTCATACACATTAATGAAGTAAATATGCATTACGAAACTGATCTAACAAGTGACAAAATCTTCAACTGAATGTCATCCACATCTCTGAAAAAAACATTCAATTTTCAGAATACAAACTGTATTGAAAGACAGCACTATAATTCTCTTAGTTTCTGAAGATACCTGGTAATGTCAGTTATTGTAAGATTCCAATCCCAAATAAAGTGTTGTTGATATAAAGTACAATCAGCCAAAGTGTTTCTATTTGTCTGAGAAAAGTAACGATGAAGAACATTATTTCATGAGAAGCTTAGATGAGTTGACCTCGTAAATGACACAGTTTTCCAGTATTTTTATTTGTTTTGATTATATAGCTCTTCATTGCAGTCATTCAATATAAGTTTTATGTAAAGAGTTGATAAACGATAATACTAATAATAAACAAAATGACTTATAGCCCTGTCCTGTTTTTGTTTGGGGTCCGCCTGGGCTCCTTGCCACTGGTTCTTGTTGCTGGGTCATATGGGGGTTGCGTTCATTGAACGCCGCCTTTCCTTGTTGATCTTGTTTATCATATTTTATACATTATTTTCCTACGAAAAGACTTATCATAAACAAAAACACTGGATCCCAAAAAGGATACAAGAATGCAAGAACGTCGACAGAATAACAATACATTGGGAGAAAATAAACGTTCATACACTGCTAAAGTGTAAATAACTAATGCTCTGGAAACTGTTTTTAGTTTTGAGGTAATAGCTACCTTGAACTTTGACCGTGTGACCCCAAAATCAATAAGGGTATTCTACCCAATATGAACAATCATCCTATGAGGTTTGAATATTGTGGGACAAATAGACCTTAACTTATGCTCTGGAAACTGTTTTCAGTTTTAAAGTAATAGTGACCTTGACCTTTGACCATGTGACCCCAAAATCAATAGGGGTCTTCTACCCAATATTTACAATCATCCTGTGAAGTTTGAATACTTTGGGCCACATGGAACATAAGTTATGCTCCAGAAACTGTTTTCATTTTTAAAGTAATAATGACCTTGACCTTTGACCTTGTGACTCCAAAATAAATAGGGGTCTTCTACCCAATGTGGACAATCATCCTATGAAGTTTGAACACTGTCGGCCAAATGGAACTTAAGTTATGCTCCGGAAACTGTTTTCAGTTTTAAGGTGATAGTGACCTTGACCTTGTGACCCCAAAATCAATAGGGGTCTTCTACCCAATATGGACAATCATTCTATGAAGTTTAAATGTTGTGGGCCATATGGAACTTAAGTTATTCTCCGGAAACCAAAATCAATAGGGGTCTTCTACCCAATATTGACAATCATCCTAGGAAGTTTAAATGTTGTGGGCCAAATAGAACTTAAGTTATTCTCCGGAAACCAATTTGCTAACGAACAGACGGACGGACGGATAGACAGACGGACGGACGGACGCCAGGGGGTATAACATAATATGCCCGAAATTCTTTCGGGCATATAAAAACATTCTGTTTTCGGAGAACAAATTATACTGAATAACAGCACTATACTATCATCTTAGTTTCTAAAGATACCTGGTAATGTCAGTTATTGTAAGATTCCAATCCCAAATAAAGTGTTGTTGATATAAAGTACAATCAGCCAAAGGTTTGTTATTAGACGCCGCGGTTAGTTTCGCCGACATATTGTTTGTTGCTCACTATGCAAGAGATAAGATAAGTAAACATTTGCTGTTTTGACAATTCATATTGTCTTTGACAGATGTTTTGCATTGTAAGAAGTAGTTTTTTGTATTTCTTTATAGTTCATTTCATCAGTGTGACAAGCTTAAGAACCCATCGTTATGAACAACATCCAGCTCTTACCTTTCTTTTTCAAAGATGGCAAGTGAACAAGCAACGAAAGGCAAACGTGTACTCATTCACACATTATCGAAACTATATAACTATGGTCAGTTACCTAGACGTGTTTTCTTTAACATTTTTTACACTAAAATAAGTCCAATTTTATTGTATGGTTCAGAAAATTGGGGCGTTCACCGCCAAACCTCAATAGAATTATGCATGTAAACGATACATGTGTGTAAATAAAAGCACTATAAATGCAGCTGTCCTTGGTGACTGCGGGAGACATCCTTTATATATTACAGCTGCAAATCGAGTTATTCGATACTGGTGCAAAATTGTGAAACTACCTGACAATAGATTAGTAAAGAAATGTTATAATATGCTATTGTATCTATCAAATAATGGCAAGACTAGAAATGTGTCCATGTGCCCCCACCGCGCCACTGTTCTGTCATTCTTATGACATACTAAGTAAAGGGCAAGAACTTTACAAATACTGAATAAATCCACAAGCAAACCCCATGGTGCATAAGTACACATACTGACCAACATTCTTGTAAACTTTCAGGCCTACAAGTGAAATACTTTTTGAGCTATGCAGGAACAAGTTGAAAATTGCAAGTCAAGGGCAATAACTCTAACAAAACTGAAAAAATTCCACATGCACAGTCTCAGGTGCATAGCTTCACAGTGATGTGAATCATTATTCCTGTAATTTAGTGATGTTGATCATTATTCCTGTAAAGTTCGTTGATTCTAACTCAAGCACTCAAGGAACAATTAACAACATAATGAAACGGTTTTTAATAAGTCAAGGGAAATAACTCTACAAATACTGGATAAATCCACAAGCGAAACCCCAGGTGTAAAACTAAATATGCTGAGCAACCTTCCTGTAAGGTTTAATGACTCTAAGTCAGATCCTTTTTGAATTACATGCG